TCTGTACTTGTCTAATTATAGTTGTTTATTGTTCTCGTTTCCAATTAAAGACGGAAACACAGCCGGATTCATATACACAGCAATCCAATAAACCCAGATTGTCCAATTGTAAAAAAATAAAAAAATCCAGATGGTTTAAAACCAAATTCACATGTCCCCAGGACTTTTAGGTAATTTCACAATTCAAATGCCTGGCCTATAAGCAACTACCACTTGATTGAAAAACAACAAAACAGAGAGGGAGAGTCTGAGAGGAGGGAGAGATTCTCAACCAAAAAAAAAAAAAAAATCAAAGACGAAGAAAGAAGCTTCATCTCTCTCTCTCTCTCTCTCTCTCTCTCTCTCTCTCTCTCTCTCTCTCTCTCTCTCTCTCCTGCGTTCTATTTCTAAGCGTCTTTGACTTACTTTCCTCGAATTAGGTCTAGCTTTCCAGTTGTTTCTGGATTTATTGAGCTCAATTTCTATAAATCTGTACATAACTGTAGCTCGAATTTCAATCCATTGTACTTTTCTTTGTTTCACAATCTTTGATTTGTCCAATTGGGTATCGAACAAGAATTTTAGATACAGAACCATTTCACCCAATTGGATATTTTTTTTCTTTTCAAAAATTTACTTACTGGGTCTCTCTGATAAATCCGATTGGGTATCTGGAAAAGTCCAATTGGGTATCTGAAAAGTCCAATTGGGTATCTGAAAAAGTCCAATTGGGTGTCTGAAGTGGTTGGTTTCCCGGGAAAGTTCGTTGCTTTGGCGAAGAAAATTAGTGGCTCGCCGAGAAAATTCGATTTGGACGAAAAGCGTTATCTGGGTTTTCTCGATTTGTGATTTGGGGTCCGGAATCGCCTCAAAAAGGAAGCCATGACGGTCCCCACAATAGCTCTGTACGCGAGCCCGCCGAGCAGTGTGTGCTCCACGGCGCACCCGTGCCAGATCAACGCGCACGCCTCACACGATTTCGAATTGAGCTCTCGATCTTCGTCGTCGACGGCGTCGACGCCCTCCGCGTCGCAGAAGCCGGTGGCTGGGGGGCTGTCGTGCCTGTTCTCGTCGCAGACGGTGAAGCACGCGTCATCGTCGTCGTCCAGCTTTTCGGGTGGAGGAGAGGAATTGGGTTCTCGGTGGCACGATAGAGGCGAGGAATTGAAGGAATTGAGCAGCTCGTTTCGGTATTCGGGGAGTAAGTTCAATGGGGCTTCGTTGAACCGGGACCAGAGCCCGGTTTCGGTGTTTCAGGGTCCGGTCTCGTCTTCCAGTAGCGGGGTTTCGGGGTCGGCGAGAAGCCCGCCGATGAGAATTGCAAGGGAAAGGTCTAGCAATGGAGATATTAGCTTGAATTCTATTCGGTGTGGGAGTAATGGGTTGTTTAATGGGTTTGTGAGGGGTGCTTTGGGCTCTTCCTGCATAGATTACGCCTCGGCGAGCTTCGAGGCTCAGACTGATGGTTTGGATGTGGGTTCTTCAGCTGTGCTTGATGAATTGACTTTCAACATGGAAGATGGGTTTTTGGAGGGAATTGCTGAGCCTTATGCTAAGGAGTTGCTAGTGGGTGCGCAGCTGCGGCACAAGATTTTCTATGAAGATTTTATTATCAAGGCCTTTTACGAGGCCGAAAAAGCGCATAGAGGGCAGGTAAATTTTGTTTGGGTTTGAGTTTTGTTTCGATTTTTGCCTTTTGGGATTTTGGTGAATTGGGTTGAGAAGTTTTGTTGTTGTATTATGTTTTGTTTTACTGTAGATGCGAGCAAGTGGCGATCCTTATTTGCAGCATTGTGTGGAGACGGCGGTGTTGCTCGCATTGATCGGTGCTAATTCCACAGTTGTTGCTGCAGGGCTTTTACATGACACGCTTGATGATTCTTTTATGTGTTATGACTACATATTTGGGAAATTTGGAGCTGGGGTTGCTGATTTAGTAGAAGGGGTATGTGTTCGATAATTTTCAGTACTCTATTGTATTACTGAATGGAAGTAATTCGACAAGTGTCAATTTTTATTCGTGCATGAGAAGTTGTTTGTTTTCGTATGTTGAAAACTAGATTCAAGTTAATTGTTCATGATATGAAATCTACCTGCCATTGTTTCACGGATTCCACTTAAGCTTTCTATAACATCTGCACTGGAACTTTACAGTTGGTGTAATAGATGTCATATTGATTAAAAGTTAACTGTTTTCTTCTTATCCGAATGAATGCTTGTGCTATCAATTAATTCTATAGTTGAGCTCATGTTAACATGAGTTACATGATTGTCTTGCATATGTTGCAGCTGTATGAAGTTAACAATCATGTTGCACAGTGTTCTAATTGTAACTTAGAATAGAAAAAGCAGCTGTTGAGATTTATGTAATGGTACTCTACTTACAAAAGCAAAACCTAGTGTAGGATTCTATATTTCAAATGGTGCTATTGCTGTGTTTGTTTTTCTATGAATATCGTATATGATATTGACATTTACTAGTTCTAATCTAGTTCTTTATGGAATTGATCAGGTGTCTAAGCTCAGTCATTTGAGCAAGCTTGCCCGTGATAATAATACAGCATGCAAAACAGTTGAGGCAGATCGCCTGCATACCATGTTCCTTGCCATGGCAGATGCCCGTGCTGTCCTCATTAAATTGGCAGACCGATTGCATAATATGATTACACTAGATGCATTACCCTTGGCTAAACAACAGAGGTTTGCAAAGGAGACTTTGGAGATTTTTGTGCCCTTGGCCAACAGACTTGGAATCTCTAGCTGGAAGGTGCAGCTGGAAAATTTATGTTTTAAGCATCTCAACCCGGATCAGCACAAAGAACTGTCCTCTAAGCTTGTAGATTCGTTTGACGAGGCAATGATTATTTCTGCCACGGAGACATTAGAGCGTGCTCTCAAGGATAAAGCCATTTCCTACCATGTTCTTTGTGGGCGGCATAAGAGCTTGTATAGCATCTACTCTAAAATGTTAAAGTATGTTATATCGGCCCTCTCTCTCTATTCCATCATAAAAGTTGACCATAAATTTTGTTATAAACATAGTTCTTAATGGATCAGTAGATTAATGAGTTATAGTTGCATGCTTTGACTATAGCACATTATTCTCCATGCCTGGATTGAAATTAACATGCTTATGGCTTTATTTTGCACAGGAAGAAGCTAAACATGGATGAAATACATGATATTCATGGGCTGCGTTTGATTGTCGAAAATGAGGATGATTGTTACGAGGCACTTAAAGTTGTTCACCAGTTGTGGTCTGAGGTCCCAGGGAAGTTCAAGGACTACATAACTCAACCCAAGTGTAATGGGTATGCCATACCTCAAAAAGTTCTTTGTTTATTTGGTCAACGTACCTCAAAAAAGTTCTAGTCACCTAGTTTATCCTTTTTTCACTTGCTTGTGCTAATATTCATCTAATAATATAGGTATCAGTCATTGCACACTGTGGTGATGGGTGAAGGCGTGATTCCACTGGAAGTCCAAATTCGAACAAAGGAGATGCATTTGCAGGCTGAGTTTGGATTTGCAGCTCATTGGAGATACAAGGAAGGTGACTGTAAGCACCCCTCATTTGTGCTTCAAATGGTTGAGTGGGCCAGATGGGTGGTCACTTGGCAGTGCGAGGCAATGAACAGAGACAGGTCCTCCGTTGGCTGTGACGATTCAATCAAGCCGCCATGCACGTTTCCTACCCATTCTGATGACTGTCCATATTCTTACAAGCCCCACTGTGGTCAAGACGGGCCGGTGTTTGTCATCATGCTAGAGAATGATAAGGTTTGTTCTAGGAAACTTCCTATTAATTTTGTACGAATATGTTTAATTGGTTTGTAGCTGGATTTAATAATTTAGCTGTATATGAGGTGGGTCTTTATGGGACTTTTTAACTTTCATACGGCAATGACCTTAAAATTTGTCTATGGATGATAGTCTTGAACTGATGTTCTGCACCATTGTAATTTCACATTTGAAATTGTGCATTAAGCATGGTGTCGTCAGTGTTGATAGACGCGTGTTATGCACCTTGTCGGGTGTCCATATGACACATAAAATCGGGATAAGCAAAATAATATGGCACACATTTAGCAATGGGGTAGGCACAAGTCTTGACGTAAATAAGTTTGTTTTGGGATTTTGTAAGGTTTTAATTGTAAGAAATGGCTGTATTTCCTGCTTATATCACAGAGACGTATTTGTTCATGTTGTATGCTTTTCATATTAATGTTATTAGGAAAGAAAAACAAGCAGGTACATATTTACAATGAGTCTGACCATGTACGTTATATTATTCCAGATGTCTGTGCAAGAGTATCCTGCAAACTCCACTGTTATGGATCTGCTGGAAAAAGCTGGGCGAGGGAGCTTGAGATGGACTCCGTACGGGTTCCCACTGAAGGAAGAACTGAGGCCGAGGCTGAACCATGCGCCAGTGAACGATCCTACATGCAAGCTGCAGATGGGGGATGTGGTGGAGCTGACTCCAGCTATTCCCGATAAGTCTTTGACAGAGTACAGAGAAGAGATTCAGCGCATGTACGACCGGGGCACAAGTGTATCGAGTGCAGGGCCTCCTGCTAACCGTATGGCGGGTTGGAGAAGTTGACCGGAATGCAGATTGTCCCGTTTATAGTTGTATCCAGTGACACTAAAGTCATTCTTGTATATAAAACAAAAGCATTTGTACGGAACAGCTACGTGGTTCTGTTATTCGATGACTAACCGAATTCAACAAGGTGTTAAAATTGCTTTTATCTATGAAGGTTCTCACATTGAATGCACTATTATCTTTCACGATACTCCCCCAACATTATGTTCTTGTAAGTTTCTGTATGGACTCAGGGTACTACCTTGCGACATGCTTGGCGTTTCGACTTCCTTTTGGTTCTATGGTGACATGTTGGCGAAATTCGCGTATCCCTTTACCGTATTGGCCAATTGGAGCACAAACCCGGTATTCGTGTACCTCATCATGTTTAAACAGAACAGAACAGAATATTCTTTTACAGTAAGAGAACAGAAGTCAACTGCAGAACATCTGTTTAGCAATTATCTTATGTTATAAGCGTTCAAATAACTGAAAATCGAAAGTATTGCAGAACATTCTTTTACAAGTATACATATCTAATACAAATCAGCATTTTGTTGTAAGCAAACACAATTACTACATCTCACACCTCTGCACTAAGATGAACCACTGTTTCTTCCCATCAGCTAGATCCTCACTTTGTGCGTTTAGTGAGGGGGAAGGATACCCTTTGGGGAGTGTTCTGCGGCACATCAGAGGGCTTCGGTTCTTGGGGTGGCTTTGGTTCAGAAGGCTCTTCATCCTCCTCCATTTCTTCCACTGCTTGGGTTGGTTGTTTCTTTGGGATTGCCAGTTGATAGTTCGGGCTGATCAATGTGTCTTGTTCAGGCGGCAATGCCACTCCAGGCCCGGCAATTGATTTCGGTAGTGGGATTTTGTTTCTGTTTCTAGCCAACTCCAGTAAAACCTGATAATGGGCCAGCTTAATGTCAAACTCTCTACATGATGCTCGATAAAAAAAAGCGCACACTCATACACAAGCTGAAGAAAACTGTATTATGTTGACAAATCTTTGTTTGATGTTATAACATGTCATAGTAAATGTAGATGCATCTTCTCGGACTCTTTTATTAGCCGAACTCAGATTAACATGATCTCAGATTTAGCAGATGAAAAATAAAGGAAGTGATATAAATTACCTCTCTTGGCGGGGGTTGTGAAAAGCTAAAATTAACCTTGCTCTGAATAGCAAGCTTGACATCGTCACAATCAATTGCGGCTTTACCAGCATGTTCGGAGTAGACCTGTGCATCACTGAGCACATCAACAACATATCGATACCACAGCTCCAAGAATTGGTGAATAACACGAGGTTCATACTCCTCCACACCCATCGATTTTAGCAGCGTCTTCACAATCTTGGCGTCTCTGGGCAAGTCCTCATCTTCCCCTGCCATTTTCTGGTTCTGGGTACTTATTTTAGGCTCGCCTGGAGCAATGGGATGGGCTAAACCTCTAAACTACTGAACCTTTTTATTTTCCCTTCAAGACTCCAGTAAATGCGTCAAGGATAATAGACACTACAGAAAGAATGGGCTGCACATCGAGGGCACTAACAGAAATAAGAATTTAGAGGCAGTGATATTTTTTGGGGTCAAAAGAGGCAGTGATTGATGAATATGCAAATTTGGAGCATAATTAACACAAGAAGCATAGCAAACTAGAACAAATTTGAGGAAGTGATTGATGAATGTACAAATTTTGGGGCAAATTAACATTAAGAAGAAAACTAGCACAAATTCAAGGCAGTGATCGACGAACTTACAGATTTTGTGGAAAATTAACCCAATTAGCACACCAAACTGTCACAAATTTGTGGCAGTAATTGATGAATATCCAAAATATGGAGGTAGATAAGTAGCGAGCAGAAAGCGAAACAATGAAGGAGGTTGCTAGTAGAGCATATCAAATATGGTAGCAAAAAAAATACAACGTAAACACAATCAGAGTCAAATGTAAAGATTAAAAAAAAAAAAAAAAAAGGTCCCATAGAAAACCCATATTCTGATTCACACCCCAACTCAATCTCCACAGCTTACTGGAAATTTGCACATTTCAAAGAACACGAAAGGTTCGAATTTTATATTCTAATTTTGTCCACTGGACAAAAAGAACCCTAAACCCTATTTATTTCCACAATACAAAACCCATTCTGGTCGATGAAAATCAAGAACTTACCAATCGGAATTGTAGATTTGATGTCAGCTTTCGCCCTTAATGGAGGAACTGAGCCCTAAATCCTATATTAAGCTTACCCGGATCAAAAATTGAGGACCCAAATAAAAGAAATTGAAACTTACACAGCTAATTTCATGATAAATCAAACATAACTAAGATGGAGAGAAAGAAAGTAGATAGCTCACCTCGTCTTGTTCCGAAGAGGGTGAGGTCTCTCTGAATTGGATTTGCGTGAGAGACAGATCGATGAGTTCGATTCCAGTAGCTAGGGCTTTGCTGATGGATGAGCGGGAGAAGAAAAGGAAAAGGAAGAGAGAGAGAGAGAGAGAGGGTGAGTGAGTTTGGGAATTGGGCGTGGGTACTGGGTGGGTTATGGGGAAGAGTCCATGGTTCATTGCTCGTTTCTTATTGGGCTTAGATATGAATCAGGCCCAGCTACCTTTTAATCTGACGCGATACTGGAAGCCGTTTACTTTCTAGTTCATCCTCTAAATATCAACTATAACGAAGATCAGCCAAATTTTAAATCGTCTTACCGTTTGATTAATGTTGTCAAAATGTTACACTCTGTTCGGATGAGGAAATTTAAAATTACTACATAATTTTAAAATGATGGAAATTCAAATGACGGAATTTTATTGTCTAATTTGTGAATTTTTTTGTTTGGTTAACCTAAGAACAATGAAATTTGTTATTTTTAAGTTCTCACCCTTAGAAATTTGGAAATGACACTTATTTACATGGAATTTAAACTTGGGAATTGGAGGCCCCAAATTCCAAGTTTTTTTTGTTTCCACTCAGAAATTCTAAATTTCTATGCTTATGAATCCAAACGAGAGACTTGGTGCATACCAATTTATAATTTATGACTTTTGTCAAAATTTCAAGTTTATTTCCTTCATCCAAACATAGTGTTAGGGTTTAACCGAATAACATTTCATTGTTTAATTATTGGATAACCATTAGATATTAAAGGGTGAAATTCAAAATAGATGGTTCAAATCATTGTGTAACATTAAAGGGTGAAAAAAAGAATTAAGAAGTTTCATATGAGAACGTTGCTAGCAGCCTCTAAAGATTTATTTTTTATTTTTGGAGAATGAGTTTGGAAGTCACCTTATTTTTATATCTCGGGCTCGAGGCATAAGGCGTAGGTCACTGAAGCTCAAGGGAAAATTTTATAGGACGGCAATAAGGCCAGCGATATTGTATGGCACAGAATGTTGGGCGGTGAAGCATCAACACGTACACAAAATGGGTGTAGCGGAGATAAGGATGCTTCGTGGGATGCTTCGTGGGATGTGTGGGCACACGAGAAAGGAGAAGATTGTGAATGAGGATATCCGAGGTAAAGTAGGAGTAGCCGAAGTTGAAGGAAAGATGAGAGAAAATCAGTTACGGTGGTTTGGACATGTGCAAAGAAGGCCTACTGACGCTCCGGTTCGAAGATGTGACTACGGAACAGAGGTTCGGGGCCGAAGGGGTAGAGGAAGACCTAGGAAAACTTTGGAAGAGACCCTAAGAAAAGACTTAGAGTACTTGGATCTAACGGAGGACATGACACAAAACCGAGCGCAATGGCGTTCTAGGATTCATATAGCCGACCCCACTTAGTGGGAAAAGGCTTTGTTGTTGTTGTTGTTGTTGTGGGCTCGAGGCATAAGGCAAGCAACCCTTAGCCTCGATCATGAGGAAACGTTAGGGTCCCTTTGGTATCCTATTAAAAATTCATCATATCTCAAAACATTTCTCGAGAACAATTTTATTTAAGACCCAAAAACTTGTTTGGTATAAGATTCAAAATTATTTTTAAATTTTAACAATTAAATAGGAAAAAAAATGTCACCCTCCATCATTTCCCTGGTGGAATCGGCAACTTCTAAATCCAACTAGATAGAGAGGAGAGAGATAAAGAGCGGAGAAAATCGAAAGAGGATCAGAGGTTTGGGAGGAGAGAGAGAGATGAAAGATATGAGAGAAAAAGAGAGTACAGAAAATAGGGAGAAAGAGCAAATTTTGATTTAAAAACTCTAAAACCTCAAAGTTTGGTGTTTATAAGAAATAAGTCATATTTTTTTTTAAGTTGTTCTGAAGTTCAATTTTGAAAATTGAAATACCAAACAAGAATTTTGGACCTTGCACTCAAAAATTGTTTCTTAAGGTTTAACAAGTTGGATTTGTGTTGGATACAAAACAAGCCCTTACATACCCCAATGTTTTATACACATCGTCCTCTATACCTCCTGCCACATAACTAGTCAGAGAGATAAAAAAGGGACATATACATTGGGAGTTTCTTCAATCCCCAGCGAGCTTTAACTTAATCTTGTTTTACAGTTGACAACAATTTCATTTTATATGTAGCATGGGGTTGTAACTTGTACTATTATTTAAACATTATTCAGTTTTTGCACTTCTTTAATACAGAACTGCATGATACCCACATTTTGGATCAATAATCTCCAGTTACTAACACAACTTACATTATTTGATATAACAGCTTCTAGTACAACCAACTAAAATGAAATACAATAAGAGATACAATTGTACTTAATTTTTGGTCTCTATCTCCACAAGAATTCATGAACAGAACCTTGCCAAGAAAGCACAAACATCAGCATCACCAAAACCCCAGCAAGCCCCCAGGACGAGCTCCCAATTCTCAGAACCCACGAAGGATCAGAAGAAGGAATAGAAGAATCTCCTCGAGTCGACGACAACGAAGTAGCTGACGAACTCGATGATGATGAAGAAGTGGTTTTGATGGCAATGATAAGTCCGGCAAGAATCATGGGAAGAACAAACCCAGAGCTCCATTTTGCTTCGTGGTATCTTGCATCACTGCTTTTTCTAGGGTTTGTATAGATAGGTGAAAGAACAATTGCAGATACTAGAGCAAGCACCATGGCCACTGATCTTTGAGAAGATGAGTTTTGGCTTGTGTATGGATAGCTTGTAGTAGCAGCAGCAGCAGCAGCCATTGGTGGGCTCAATGAAATTAGGGTTTCAGGACTGGTTTTTCTTTTTCTTGAAGAAAAAGGAAAAACCAACTTGATGAATTTAATTAATATCAGATGAAGTGGGAGAACTGTATATTTATAGAGCAAAGAAGGTGGAAACGGTGACGGAATGTCGGTGGAAAGCTTGGGATTGGATGACAAAAAGTGATAGACAGCCGTCCAAAAAGTGGGAAAAGCAGAAAGATGGGGGACTAAATTATGCAGATGATTGCGGGATGGGGGTAAAAGTGATTGTAAAGGTTAAGAAGGATTGGAAGCATTTGGAAGTAAGGTATTTGTGATGTGTTCGTTTGTGTGTGTTCATACTTGACAAGAAGCAAATGCTAGCTGTTTTCATTATTTCGGGAAACATCTAGATCTCTCTCAAAGAGGCAAAGGTAAAGCATCGATGAGCAAAGTAAAATACAATATAATCAGCTGAGTTGCCCCCATCTGCAAGAAATCTTTTGTTGCACAGTTGGGCTGTTTTGAAATACGAGAGAAACTTTCTTGTTCTGGTGGCACTGTCTTCTTATTTTTTTCATATGTTTAGTAAGTAATGTATAGAGAAATAAAGGAAAAAGGGCACAATTTGTACGCTTTATGGTTTAAACCTTAATAACAAAACAGTTCTAACGTATATTGGGTTTTTTGATACAAACATATTCTAGGTACGAAATGGAATTAGAACTTCAATTTGGAATCATCAGAAAACGTTACTTATAGTTATTAGTTTGTTGATTTGAAGCTAATTATAGATAATGATATGTGATTATCTCGATGATACTCCACCACTTAGAACCCTTCTAATCCAATGATCGCCAAAGAAAATTGAACAACTGTTGGATTGGATCCAAAGGCCCGAAGTGACTGAGTGTTAATTTAACCCTAAATCATTGTTATCTACATGCCACTTGGCATCTCAATTTATTGCCACTTGTACACTGGATTTTCAATTATATTCCCTTCCACTCCCTAGATGAGAAATGTTAAAAAGACTCTTTTAAAGTGAGACTCTTTATGAACTCTCTGTCTTCTCATGTTTTTGGCATAATATTTTACAATGTTGGCACAAAAATTATGTTAAAAACATAAAACATAAAGTAACAAAATATCTATAGAGAATTCCATTTTTCGGAAAATCTCCATAGCATTTTCTTTTCCGAGATTCATAAATTTTGGAGGTCAGTGCCCATCTGGAAGACAAAGTGATGCTTTCCCATGCCCTGATCCTGTAGATTCCTGCTGGACCTTATCGCTTGTGGTATTTCTTTAATCTAATGGTCCAAATCTTTTGGTCCCGGATGCCATACCATTATGCATACATGCTTTTAAATTAGTGTAAAGAATGACCAACTTTTGCTTAATTTAGGAAAAAGTAGTTAGATCAGTAGCATTGGTAGCTTTAGATAGTGCTACTCACGTATTTATTTTTGCTTCCCATTCATTTTTATTTATTTTTTTGTTATTTACCTTCTTTAATTTTAGATCTGATAGCATTACCAGTATCTTTATTAACAATGGTTGCCATTTGTCTTTGACATAAATACACACTTCTTCAAAATTAAAAAGAAGCCTCTATATTATGTTTTTATTGTTTGTAAGAAAGAGAGAAGAAAATTTCAACAAGGAAATGCTATTTTTACTCTCGTTAACCCATCAACACTTTTGTAGGAACATACTTACATATGTTCATGTCATAGCATGAAAGTGATACGAAACATATGAGAGTGACACGATACAGCGTTATTTCCGTTCTCTAGTTTAATACGATTACTGTTACAAACCAGTCTCCGTTTTGTTTTTCCTTTTGTTATTTTGAGTTGGCACGATTGGTTTTCATCGTCTAGAAGAACATGCAAGTGGGTCAATCAATTGTCCTCATCACCTCACAAATGTGAGATGCCCCCAACTCTCTTTTACATCTTATATAGAAACTGCGTGAAGCATCACAAACCATGCCAATTTAAGTAATCCAACAAGGAGGAGATCAACCACTCAATATTTCTCAATTCAAATTCAAACCCTAGGTCATGGCTTACCCAAAATTTTCCAATGTCCTCTCCTTCTACCTTGCAACAATCATAGCCATTTCCCAATTCTTGATTTCAATTTTACCTTTGCTGAATCCAATCACGCTCCTAATCACAGTTGCAGATTTACTTATATCAGTATATTTCAGGTCGTGTGGTCTTTGTCCCTGCACAGTTGAATTAGATGATCAAACCACGATGCACTTTTGGGTTGCAAATCCTAGGAGGTCCCAGAAGCCTGCCCTAGTAATGCTTCATGGGTATGGTGGCAATTCAAAGTGGCAGTTCATCCATCAGGTGGGCTCTCTCTCTCAAAGGTTCAATCTGTATGTGCCTGACCTACTGTTCTTTGGCGACTCCTATACAACTAGGCTTGAAAGGACTGAGATCTTCCAAGCAAAATGTGTGGCAGAAGGGTTGAAGAGATTAGGGTTGGACAGATTTTCTGTGTACTCCATAAGTTACGGAGGGTTCGTGGCGTATTGGATGGCGGAGATGTACCCGGAGTTGGTGGAGAAGACTGTGGTTGTGAGTTGTGGGATTGGAATGACGGAGGAGCAGAAGAGAGAGCAGCTCAATAAGGTTGGAAGCAATGCATTGAATCTCCTTGTGCCTCAAAGTGCTCATGATCTACGGCTCCTGGTGAATCTATCAGTGCATAAACCTGGCCCTTCTAAGTGGGTCCCTGACATTTTCCTTCGTGGGTTCATCAATGTGAGTTTCATTGGATTTGCAATGTTCTACTCAGATATCTAACATGTTATATTATCAGTCTATCGATAAGGGATTGATTGAAGACTAAGATATATAGTCTGACAATCACAGTGTCTAGGCACTTTGTTGTAGTGTCTGGCAAAAGAACATTTGTGCGTCAAGTTAATTCTAATAGGATTGGATTTGTATGTTGTGATATGTAGGTGACCTATAAACAACACAGGAAGGAGAAATTAGAGTTGGCAGAGCACTTGCTGAGGAAAAAAGAAGATCCAGACCTTCCTATTCTAACTCAGGTATAAACCAACTTGGCCATAATTCAACACTTAGAAAACTTTCTCTTCAGAAATTTTGAAGGGAGTTCTTATTTGGGTGAAGGAAACACTGATAATTTGGGGTGACAAGGATGAAGTCTTCCCTGTGTACTTGGCCTATCAGCTGCAAAGGTGACTTAATTTTAATTTATTTCTTCATGATTAAATTAATTAATCAGGATTTTAATGTTCACTTTTGAATATGTACAGGCAGTTGGGACCAAAATCAAAGGTGGAAATAATCAAGGACACAGGTCATGCAGTAAATATGGATTCACCCACTTCCCTGAATTCTCTTATAACTTCATTTGTTTTAGGTTAATTTTCGATCTTAGTCTTTTAGTATGAAAGATTTGTTGCAATTGCAGGCATGTCTTGACGAAGTTCTGTTTGTCAACGAATCTTAACTAAAAAATGGAAAATATCGTAGTGGATCAAAGCATGTAAAGGCCTTTAATATTGGATACTTCAATTTTTTAGATCTAAACCCTGTTTGAGATTTTCAAAGGTCTAATTTTCAGAACAATTTCCTTACAAAATGCAATGCAAGGTCACATGTCTTGGACTGTTGTGGGAGAAAAGACGAGAGAGTTATAAAATGGAGAGATATGTTATGTCGTTGTCCACTAGTAACGATTTAAATCGTAATGTGTAAATTTGAGATAGATTAGTTAGTAAATCAAAAGCTGTGTCTGTCTCTTTATATTTGAATTCAAATTTTCTTCTTTAAATTAGAATAGTTTAATTGAAATATTAGGTAAGAAACCAAATAATATGAGTCCGAATCCTCGTCGGATCTTCTTTGTGTGCATTCCGAGAATTCATGAATTGTATTCGTTTATCGTACATTGTGCGGTCAGAAATTATTTTAAATATTTTAATTTAAAAATAAACATAAATAATACTTGACAAAAACTAACTGCACGATATATGATGAATATACACGATTTATGGATTTTCAGAATCCTCGCCAAAAGAATCCGAAGAGGATCCTGTTGGTATTATTGGAAACCTTTAGCCTTAGATGACATGTGAGATGTCCTTGTTACATGTCACATGTCAAAGTAAAAAAGGTCTTCCAAAAAAAAAAAAAGACAAAGTAAAAAAGGTAAAGTAGATGGGTAGGACTGGAAAAAACATACCAAAAATCCCAAACCGAACTGAAAATTTCCCGAAACCAAATCGAAAAAAAATACCAAACTGAAAATCCCAAAAATTTCGGTACGGGAATCGGTCTCAAGTTTTTGAGATTCCAGTAATCCATAACCGAATCAAAAAAAAAAAAAAAAATTTAAATATATATTTGAAATTGTAATAGCAGACGGATTCGGTTAAGATTAAATCTCAATCGTTGAATATTATCAAACCTACATAGAAGTCTGAACAGAAGAACATAACTCACTCACTCACTCACTCACACAGTCACGACTCATAATCTCACACTCACTTTCTCTCACCTCAGACTCAAACCTCGCTCACCGTCACCACCATCCTCGTCGATTTCTCTCTCCATTTTCGAATCCGGCCACACAAGTGACTCACCTGAGTAATCTTTTTAGTTTGCGTGTTCCAAAGGCCACTTCTCCATCTAGGGTTTTGACTGCGCTTTAATTCCAGCATCTGAAGAGTAAGGAGGGATTCGGAATTCCACTTAGCTGCTTAGGGATCCCAATTCTTCATTGTCAAGGTTTGTTTCCCTTTAATCTTTATTATTGTTATTCATCTTTCAAATTGCTCAACTTTAACAACCTGGTTGTTGCTTAGATTTTAGGGTTTTAATTCATTTCAATTGTTGTAGGCGGTGTAAAGATTTGAGCTCTTGGAACTTGCCCAATAATTAATTTCCCTAATTGTTTGACATTGTGGTTTATCAAATATGTTTGAAATGGTTATGAATATTTGTTGTATGTGTAATTCCACAGCTTAAAAAATTCAACTTTAGTGCTACCTTCGTAGTTAATTTGTGGTGGTTGCTTTGAAAATCTATGTCGATTGATTAGGGAACACTGGCCTACACAATAAAATCTAATTATATATATGGTAAGTAATTTGTGGTGGTTGCATGTTGTTCAAGCGCAAGCAGTGTTTGGAACTTTGGATCAAAACATCCTTGACGTTCTTTATTTACTGGTTGATAGATATATTTCTTCAATACTTGGTATTAATCAATTAGGTCTTGTTTGGTATCCTTCTTGGATCAAATTTTTAGTTTTTCTTTAAGCTAATGAGTGTTAACTGTTAAGTAATTTAGTTACATTCAGTATTTTTAAAAACAAAACATTGGATCCGAGAAGAATGCCAAACAAACTCTTAGCTTCCTGCTTAATTCCACCATTTTAATGCAAGGCTATGAATATTGTAGAACAATCTAATTATATATTGTAGAACAATCAAATCTCACCATCAAGTTCAAGTTGCATAAATACATTTTTCTAATTATTTTTCCCGAGCCTTGAGGCATATGTGAATATATTGTTTGTATCTCTCCTTGCTCATATGTTATTCTTGTTGGGGCATTACTGTGAGATGTTGTATATGTTATTCTTGTTGGGGCATTATTGAAGAACTGATTGGAATCTGATTCTCTATTTTATGTGCCAGATTGTGTACTTTGGTGGTGCCTGTAAGAGAGCGTCCCCTTCCCTGCTGTGGTTGTGGACTTAATTTATTTTTGTTGCATGCATGTGTAGTAGAATAGGCAGATATATGCAAGGATTTTGGTTTGATACTTTGATTTTATTTCTACAGACTGCTCACCGCACAGACCCACGGTTTGATACTTTGATATATTTCTACAGACCCACTATTTAGTTATACAGATTGGGCTGATTGGCTATTCAGTCTATTTTGCACACTGCACAGTGTACATACCCACTATTATAGCCCAAAATTTGAAAAGCCCAAAAGCCTAAAAACCCAAAAGCCCAAAATTATTTCGGGATTCCCAATTTATCCCGAAATCCCGAAACTATTTTGGGAATCCCGATAATTTCGATTTGAGAATCGGAACAAGGGTTTCGGTTCGGTATCCCACACCGAACCACCCCTAGGTGTGGGAGGGAAAGTGGAAGAAGATGGGGTCGAGAGAATAGTTCCATCGGTCCTTCCAGATTTTTTCTTTCAACTTCTTGTAGTTGCCACGGTGCAGTTAACCTTTTTGTTTGCTTGGGATAATGAGAGGATATTTAGGTGCATGGACAAAATTATCGATATGTCTCAACTTAACAATTTATTGTTAGATGTTAAGTTTTATCATGCAGAAATATGGTGATATGTAGAATCTCCCACATTTTATGGGTCATATATAAGTTGTATATTATTTTTTAGGGTAAATTATACAAAACTACCTTAACTATGAGTCGAACCACAATTTTATACCTCTTGCTTTAAAAGTTACAATGTCATACTTCATATGACGAATTTATTGCAATATTAGACATCCGTTAAAAAATCTGTTAATTTGTCTGTTAATGTGACAGGATGACCCACTCTCTTGTGCAATTGGATTAAAAAATTGATTAAATAATAAAAATTAATTAAATACTAAACTATTAAAAAATTATTTAAATATTAAAAAAAAAATTAAAAATCTCTTCCAATTCTCTCTCTCTCATTTCTCCCAAATCTGTTTTTCCCAATCGACGACGAACTCAAAGAACAACCCACCATGCGCGAGCCCAGATGACGGCGAGTCGAAAAGCAACCCACCATGCGCGAACCCAGATTCATCGGAGGAGGAGACACATCGTGTTTGTCTTTCAAAAAGGGGGTACGGATTGCAGACATCAGGTGGTCAGGCAAGCGCGGGTTTGCGAGGGGTTGAGCAGCACCAGGTGCAAATAATGGTGGTTCCGGATTGGCTGGGTTATGGCGACGCTGCAGGTTCTGGGCTGCACAGATTAGGTGTAGCGGCGATGGGTCTGCAGGTGATGGGGGAATGCAAGTCGTTCGGCAGTGAGCAGGTGCGTCGATTAGCAGTGGGGGGTCAGCAGGTTTTGAGGGTCGGGTTGCGTGGTGTGAGTACTGGTGGGATCGGTGCCGTCGAACGGTTGAGATTTGATTTTGGATTGGGTTTGATTTTTTGTTTGAGATATGATGGGATCGGTGCCGTCGAACGACTGATGAATGGGGAAAGAGATAGTTTGGTTCTGATGGTGGGATGGAGTGGTTTGGTTCTGATGGTGATTTTGAGGTCTTATGGCTGGAGGAGGAGGAGGAGGAGGAGATGGACGAAGAGAGGGAGGCGGTGGGGTGCTGGTTTTGGTGGTGAAGGAAAGTTGGGGGAATACGAGTGGATGCGGATGAAATGGGTTGATGGGTTTGCAAGGGTGGGTCCCTAATTCAAAAAATTATTAAATTATTTTATTTTTTAATATTTAATTAAAATTTTAATATGGAGTGGGTCTATCTTAAGCCACGTCAGCATTTAACAGAGGAATAGATAGACAAACTGACAGAAAGTATGACATTGCAACAAATTCGAAGATAAGGTATAATATTGAAATTTTTTAAAGATGGGGTATGAAATTGTGATTGGTTCAATAATTAAGATAGTTTTGTGTAATTTACCTTCTTTTTTATATGCCTGATGTGGATTTCTAGTCTTTAAGGGTGTGTTTGATTGCCCTCCTTAGCTCTCACTGGATTGGACAGGATTTCCTTTTAGTCTAATCATGTGTTTGTTTACGGAAGGGCCTAACTTTAATGGGACTCGCCCTGACTAAGTTGGACTAAACACTTGCTAAAGGGGCTTAGCGAGACCCCTCGAAATCGAGCGGACTGCTAAGACCTTAGCTTCCCCCTCCCGCTTCGCACATCCATCTACTTCGTCCTCGCTTCCCAGAATCATCTTCAAGACCAGATTCGGCAAAACCGAAACAAAATAGAAGAAAAATTTGCAGACGTTCTATTTTCAAAACCACATCCAACACCCAAAATCTCAGAAAACCTAAAAAAAAAATCTGAAAGTGAGATGAGCTTGAAATTTTCAATCACACAACATTGAGAAAACCAGAAATCCAAAGAATCTGCATTGAATTTTTCAATCACAGCACCCAGAAAACCAAAAACTCAGAAAACGCAAACCAGATCCAACCCCCATCTTCTACCTTCAGGCCAACTCCTAACTCCTAAATTTTCAATCTCTTTCTTGCTTTGTGGTTTGATTGTGAAGATTTGCAGTCGATTATGAAGTTGGGAGATGAACAACTTATGAGTTTAATTTTGATGTTAATTTCTTTCATCAAAAGAGGGAGATGAATAGAGAACAAAGGAAGAAAATAAGGAGATGAAAGGAGAACAAAAGAAGAAGACGGAGATGAAGAGGGAGAGAGACGAAGAATAAAAAGGGAGAGGGACGAAGAAAAATTAGAAAGAAAACAGAAGGAGAGGGGCGGAGAAGGAAGAAAGATGGGTTGAACGGGGAAGGTTTCTGGAATGAATGAGAAAATAGATAGAAGTAATAATAAAATATTATAAAATATTTAT